AGCGATGGCCTCCAACCTAGCAGCGATGGCCTCCAACCTAGCAGCGATGGCTTCCAACCTCTTTCTTTTCTGTCAAAGTGACATCTTCATCATACCATCCTGTGGTCTTCCCAGAGAAGGAGGTGGTCAAGGCGATCCCGTGCGGCGGGCTGATCTGCACGAGTCCACCAGAGGGTGGTCCATCCGCCAAAAACCTGACACATCCGCCAAAAAACAACCAAAAGAGGGATCGAACAAAAAATAGAAGCCTGAGAAGGGAGTGGACGAAAGCCAGCCACCGTAACAAATATCAATATGGTTATGGGGGTGAATGCGAGAGCCCTGGTGAGCTCCCCACCTCTTTTCCTATCACCTCCTCCCCCGCTATGCCCATTTTGTACATGAACTCCCACTCCATATGGAGTGCCCTTTTGCGCCTGGTCAACAGGCCTCTTCACCCTAAAAAAGGGCACCGCCAAGCAACTCAAAGCTTGCCTGCTGCATTTTGTTCACTTTCCGGCCCTCAACGGACCACAGCATTACATGCACTCGCACCCCATATGTGATGCTATTTTGCGCAGAGTTGACAGGCGTCTTCACCATTTAAAAAGGGCAACTCTAACATTTCTTGCAAACCCTCTGTTCCTACCACGTCCTCCTACGCTATGCCTGTCCTCCACCTTCCTCACAGCATTCTGGTTCCTCACAGATCACACAATGTCTTAATATTTCACTGGCCATGAGAGCCGCGCGTCTCCCTTTTCTGGAAGAGTTCCAACAACTTTTCGCGTCCCGTTGTCCCCTCTTTCTATCATTGACATGAACTCCCGCCCCTGGTAGAAAACGGTTTACATTGCCTCTTGAGCCCCTCGTGATGCTGATAGTGCAGTACTACATCACCGGCATCATAACACCACTAAAACCACTCATTTTTCACTACCAAGTCACCTCTCTTTTTTTGCTCTCCCCCACCAGGCTCCGGGCTCACCTCTCCGAAATTGGCCACCTCGCGACCACCCCCCCACACCCCCTTTAACTCACTTCGTTCGCTCCCCTACCTCAAGCCTAGCCTATCGGCTGGCTTTCGTGGAAAAACAAGATGGAACACAGAAACCCGAAAGTAAACACCACTCATTTTGGTGTTCTTCGCTCGTCAGATCCCATGAGCGACCTACTGACCGCGTCCTAACTAACACTCACATGTGGCAACCTCGTCCGGCTTCAACGCACAAAGCTGCCACTGTTGCTATAGTTGCAACACTAGTTGCAAGCTACTAGGAGCAAAGGGCATCGCTACTAGGAGCAAGGACGCTACTAGGGGCTCCTGGCCTTACTACTACAATGTTTGCTACTACTAGTTGCAACTATAGTTGCTCTCAGCTGTGAAATGCGGTTTTCGTCTTTTATCCTTAGACCTTCTTTGTGCTGTGAAATGCGGTCTACAGAGCTGGTGCAACGCTTTGTGTTGCTGTTTCAAAACGTCCTCAAAACGTGTGTTCCTTTTCAGATCTAGAAAGCAAGGTTGTCTTCTTTTTTAACAAACGACATATAAAAGGTCGAACCGAGGGGCGGTGGTGACTCCACCACACGTGCTCCACGTGCAACAGCTTCAGTGAGAGATTCGGGAAGTTGAGATTGCAAAAGATCCATTTCCTCCTCGCTTCGCAATGCGAAGCGCGAACTGACACGAGTTCTCATGTTGCTTTCATGATCACTTCGACGTCTTTTTCGAATCAAACAGTTGATGATGTGTATGTAGGAGGGTTGCACCAAAACACTACGATGACCTCAATAGACTTCTTCTATTCTGCAAGCGTCCTGCGTCTCCATCTGTAACATCCAATAGACATAGCGCCGCCCTGCATCAGGTGCAGTGCTTCTTTCGAATGAAATGTGGAGGGAGCTTGGTAGAAAAAAATTAGAATTACATTAAATTAAAAGAAGATTTGAATTAGAATCAATTAAATTACAAATTAGCATTAGAGCTAGAATTACAAGAACGTGCGTGCTCTTGTTTTGGAACGCGGTTGGAGCTATGGGTGGAGGCCATCGCTATTTAGTTGGAGGTCATCGCTATTTCGTTGGAGGCCATCGCTGCTACGAGGCTGGAGGCCATGGCGATTTGGTTAGCGGCCATCGCTGCTAGGGTGGAGGCCATCGCTACCAGGGTGGAGCATCGCTATTTGGTTGGAGGCCATTGCTCTTAGGTACCGTTGTGAGTTTGACGGGCGACGGCCAGCCTGGGATTAAGGCCGAGCCCGGAAAATCGGATGAGGAGAGAGTGAGCCCATCAGCGTCCACCACGGAGCTTGTCTTTAAAAAAGACAAGAAGGAACCGCTTTCCTCCTTGGACACCGACCATGATTGAAACACTCGGTCTTGTTTTCGCCTTTGGTTTTGCACAAAGATGTAGCTCGAAGAAAAAAGGCTGTCCAAGGATGGAAAAAGCTGTGAATTTTCCAAAGGAACGCACTTTTCCTAAGGGTAGTCTAAAGACAAAAAACAACAACATCAAGTGACGTCCAAGTCTTGTCGCCCAGGTTCTGCCAAAGCGAAGCTCCATGCCCAGCCATCCGGCACAAAGCAGCCAGTGCTGGTTTGCACGTAGGCTCTCACCGCCCCACGAAGGCCCACTTGCGTGGAAACAGCCTATGGGGTGCAAAATGCACTTGAAAGAATGTTTGACTTCTGTGACTTGAAAGAAGCGTGAACATTTGTCTAATGCTTCTTCCTCACCTCGCCGCTGCTGAAGGGCATGGCGAAGGCCACTGGCACAGAACGATTGCCACTGCTCACCTGGAGCTGCCACAAGGCTTCTGCTACCTCAGGGCACACAATCTGGAATGAGGGGCGGTGAAAACCGTTTTACAGTGACTCGAATGCTGAGGAAATTGGTTGTGTCTTTCAATGTAGCAACTGAACCTCATGAAAAGAGACACACCTGTGGCTTCATAAGCTACGGCATCGCTACAAAGGGCATCGCTACGAGGAGCGATCGGACGCTACGATGAGGGCGAAACTGGCATCGCTACGAACGGAGCATTCTTACCTACAAACGGAACATCGCATTGCGTCGCATTGCGTCGCATTGCGTCGCATTGCGCTCAGCCCGGCGGCATTTGCTCCTCGGCTCACCTGAACCTGAGCTTGGTGGAAGCATTGGCTTCCGTGAGCAAGTGTTCGGTGAGCCCCTGAGCTGTTTGGAAATGCTTTAAGGCCTTGTAGGTTGGAGGCCATCACTCTTGGGTTGGAGGCCATTGCAAGGAAGGAAGGCCTTGAAGACATTCCTGCTCAATTGAAGACCGAAGGCCATGTAGTAGCATTCTGTTCTAAAACCAATTCAATGTGTTCTGTCGTTTCTTTTTCTGTCTCTTTCTCTCGTTCAGGCAATCTGGTGTTCTTTCGTACAGAGCTGGGCATCGCAGCTGTCAAGTACTTGCAAGATGTGACAAGGAACGCTGAAGTTGTACATGCCTGCGTCCAATTGATTGCCTTTCAGCGTTGTCCAACACCGAAATAAACGCAGAAAGTCATCAAAACGATGTGAGGTCTCGAGCTACAGACTAGCCTCATCTGATTTTTCTCCAAGCGCAAAAACACATCTCCAGACTAAAAATGATATTCCGACCTTTTGAAACAAGTAGCTAAGTAGCTACTAGGAACAAGGGCATCGCTTCTAGTAACAAGTGCCTTACTAGTAGTAACAAGAAACTACTAGGAGCAAAGGGCATCGCTACTAGGAACAAGGACGCTACTACAAAAAGGGATTCCGACCTTTTGAAACAACTCATGTTCTTTCGAACTCACAGGTGGTTATCAAGTCAGCCAAACAAGAATCGGGTTCGAATGCTACACGCGAGGTACACGCTAGGTCGGTCTCACTGCATGTCACTCCCAGTTGCAGTGGCGTGGTTTCTCTTGGCATTCGATCACATACATGTCATTCTTTCAAGCAAGGGAGTAAACTAGAAACAAAAAAAAAACTCCTGGCTAGAACGCAGGATTGCTGACGCTTCCTTGAAGAAACGTGAACACTATAATTATGATGATTTGGCTCCTGGATTTTCAGGGACACTTCAGTTTTTCTCTTCGGTTTCAGATGTTTTCTTGATGACAATTTGGTCTTGGCCTTGGTGTCTGAGTCGTATCCCCTGAAACAAAATTATGTTTTGCACTTTGGTTCTCTTCTTTGCTCCTTTCTATGCTGGCTGCTAGTAGCGTCCTTGCTCCTAGTACAAATGCCCTTTGTTACTAATTGCGTTCTTGTTGCTAGTAGCTTCTTGTTTCTATGGGAGCAGAAGGCAGAAGGCCTAAGACGGCCTAAAACGACACCCCGCACCTGTGATGTCAAGCTGTGCACCAGTGGATCCGGGGAGTCCACAGTCACCACCAGCTTGGTCCACGCAGCTCCACCGGTAGGCCTTGGTGAAATCCCATGGTTCCTGCATGATTGACTTTGTTAAAAACAAGATGGAAACCACGAACCCGAATGCAAACACGTACTCGAAAACAAGCATTCAAACAATTTTAGGCACTCTTGTAGGAGACACTTTTGTGGGACACTCTTGTAGGACACATTCTTTTCGGAAACCTTTGGGGGACACTCTTGTGCGCTCTTGTGGGACACCTTGTATGACACTCACTCTTCTGGGACACTCTTGCGGAACACTCTTGTAGGACACTCTTGCGGAACTCGCAGGTCACTCTTGTGGGACACTCTTGCGGGGCACTCTTGTGGAAAACTCTTGTAACTTCCACACCTCAAAGCCTGCACAAAGTGCTGCATCTGACAGTATCATATCATGTGAGCTTCAGCAAAATTTGCACCACACCACACACCTGGAATGACTTCGACACGTTCTGAGCACGCTCCCATCCACCAAAATTGCAGTTTCAGCTGAGACTTGCCACGAAAGCACAGCTTCGATGGCTTCGATGCAACACCCTGAAAAGCCAACCCCAATGTCGCAGCCACATCCAACACCCCAAAAACACCACTCTCCAAACGCCAATCCCACTGCGACTGCGCAGAAAACTCACCGTCTCACCAAACTCTGCGCCTGCGCAGTGAAATGATCCTCCACACTTCAACAGCTTACGTTTCCACACGTTTCCTGGCTATTTCACACGAATCTGACATGTCATCCTTCCATACAAAACCTTCCCCCAATGTCATCGCCTTAGCGCCCTACCGCGAACAGTCGGCGGCGAACGCTCAGACCACGAGTCGCGAACGCTCTACCCCCAGACCCCCAGAGTTAAACGAGAACCCTTCGCTATGCATTCGGGAAATGCCTAGTTCTTCATTTTGTTCTTTAGACCTTCAGACCATTCCTTCTTTTGAAAGACAAGTGCCACAAATGTACATTGACCATCCCTACTGTCGTGAAGCTTCCTCTGTGACGTGCCGGTAAACACACACAAACACACGGTGGACAAGGTGCAGCAATTTAACCCTTATCAGGGTTCCAGCTTGTTTTTGGGAAAGGGATTGTAGGACAATAGTCGGACGAACGCAGCAAATGGCTTTTCTTTTGTTTCAAGCTTCTATAGTTGCTTGTTTCATTCTCAAACCCGAGCCTAGCAGAATTCGAGTTCGTTTGCAGCGTTCTTTCAGCCGGTTGCTGTTGCCAAGCTGCCAGATCGGCAAATGTACCCAGTGGCAATGAGGGATCGAAAGAACTCGAAGCATTCAAGCCTGGTGTGCGAGAACCGATGGATCGAGCGAATGGCACACTTTTTCTTTTAGCCCGCTCCCTTTTATTCCATCATCTTTGAAGATTTGGCGTTCCTCTCAAGAAGGAACACGTTCTATTCTTTTTTCAAAAGTTCTTATTGTCTTGTTTTCTTTTTTTTTGAAGATTCAAAGTTCCTCTGAAGAAAAACTTTTTTCTTTATATTACCTTCTATATTCCCTTTATTCCGGTGGCAATGAGAGATCGAAAGAACTCGAAGCATTCAACCTTATATATGGCCTCCGGCTCCTGGCCTTACTAATAGGAGAAGGGCATCGCTACTAGGAGCAAGAAGCTACTACCGTCTTTCCTTCACCTGCCGAGCCACCGAAGTTGCACTCTGTGGAGACACTGCTGGGTGCCACCAGCCGCACCACAGGAGGGGCTGCTGCCACGGAAAGGCTAAAGTTGTACTGCGTGGCCTTGGGGTGAGAAACGCGGAAACAATGGCCTAAACTTTTGTCCTCGTCTATCATGTATATACATATACACATATATCCAACATATATATATATACATAGTGGGTAGGCCTCTAAGAGGTGGTAGCTAAATAGGAGGTAAGAAGCTATCAAGCTATCCAGTAGCTACTAGGCGGCCTAGGCGTTACACCATTCTTCTTAACCAGGCCATCCTGTTTAAAAAGACTCACCGGGCAATCATTTCAACTGAACTGCCAAAGAGATGGGTAGTGGCCGCGAACAATCACTCAGACAGCTTGGCCATCGTGACAACTGTCCCCTCTCGGTTCTTTTTCCATCCTTACTTGCGGCCTGACGACAGTCGCGCACGACCGGTCAGCCGCAAGCATTCCTTTTTCCTTCTTTTTCCTTCTTTTTCCTTCTTTTTCCTTGCTTTTCCTCGTGCCTTGGACGGCCCAGTCTTGCCATTTTGCCTTATTTCCTCTCCCGCAGCATTTTTGGTTCTTTCCACAGTCCCATCTCTCAGGTGGGCTCAGCTGCCTAATCCCAACTCATAGTCCAAGTGGAAGAAGTCGCGCAAACGTTGCTGCAACTCTTCGGACACTGAGAGGTTCTCCAGTTTGCAGCGGCCCGGCACCGAGTTCACGCCCGCAGGAAGCTTTGTCTCCCGCACATCCACATCGCGGTAGAACTTCAAGACCTTGCTCAGCTCCTCTTGCAAGTTTTTGTAACGAACAATGTGATCACACAAGCGCCGGCCAGTGAAGGAGGTCAAGTAATACGCTTGCGGCACATGGTGGCAGTCGTCGATCCAAGGGTCTTCCATGAGACGCTGCAACGTCGCATTGGCATATTCCTCAAACATCCGCTGATTGCACAACGGTCCTGGCGTGCGCCGATGCCTGGAAATGTAGAAATACTCGCTGACGAAGCGACGGAGGGGATCTCGCACCACGCAGAAGGTGGAGCAGTTTGCATAGTCTCGCGCCAGTTCTTCATCCATACTTGGTGGATAGTGCCAAACACTGCAAGCTGTGACGTTGTTTGGCCAACAGCACAGTCTGCGGACAGGAACTGTCTGTGTGCACTGGGATGCATTGAGACAATGCAACGAATGATCATGAAGGCCCCAAGCATACTTCAGTCGGGCCCCAAGACCCTCAATGGCAGAGCCAGCATTCTTCGGTATGTGAATCAGTTTCAAACAACGTCCAGTGGTTGCCACCGTTTGGCTGTCACCCAGCATGGTATCATTCGGCAGGTTCAAGAAATTCCAGGAATGAAGGCGAAGCCGAAACGCGTCTTCTGTAGCATGTTCACTTGATGTGGCGTGCCGTAGCTCTCCGCGTTTGCGGCTACAATTACGGGATCTCTCTTGAAAGATGTGAAAACGTATGATGCCAACCAAAATGGTGACGATAGTGACTGCCAACCCCGCACCATGGCCTTGGGAGCACTTCATGTGGTTCCTAACTACTCTTAGGTTGGAGGCCATGACTATTAGGTCAGAGACATGGCCTTTAAACTATGCCTTGTCAGTGTCTACTTTTTTCTTTACATGGTCTGATGTTGATGTAAGATCTGAGGAGTTTATGTCCTGCCGGTGCTTTTTCTCTTTCCATGTTCTGATGCTGATGTAGAATCTCAGGAGTCTATGTCTTGTCGGTGCATGTTCTGATTTTGATGTAAAATCTGAGGAGTCTATGACTTGTCGGTGTTTTTCTCTTTACATGTTCTGATGTTTATGTTCTGTTGGTGTTGTTTTCTTTACATGTTCTGATGTTGCTGTAAAGTCTTAGCAGTTTATGTCTTGTTGGTGTTGTTCTCTTTACATGTTCTGACGTTGATGTAAAATCTGAGGAGTTTATGTCTTGTCGGTGTTTTTCTCTTTACATGCTCTGATGTTGATATAAAGTCTGAGGAGTCTATGTCTTGCAGGTTCTTCCCTTTTGCAGGTTGATCCCATAGCGTTGCAAGGTCATTTTCTCTTTGGATGCTCCTGAGCAGCCCTAGTAGCGATGCCTTTGTTACTAGAAGCTTCTTGCTACTAGTAGTAGTGGCCTCCAACCTAATAGCCATGGCCTCCACCCTAGCAGCTTCTTGCTACTAGTAGTAGTGCCAGGAGCTACTAGTAGCTTCGTGCTACTATATGTGTCCTTTTTTGTTAAATTTATATGGTTTGAGGTCGCTCTAAGTTCTTATCTTGCCAATGTCCACCCTTCACATGCTCCGATGTTGTTGTAAGGCCTTTCTAGTTTATGTTTTGATTGTTTACATTTTCCGATGTTGTTGCAAGTTCTCACTAGTCTGTGATTTGCTGGCTTTGCGGCTATACCTGCTCCGATGTCGTTGTGACTTCGAAGTATATCAGGTTCTGCCGCTTTGCATCTATATATATATATCCGTTGTAAGTTCTCAGCAGTCTATGATTTGCAGGTGTTTTCATGCTTCGATGTTGTTGTAAAACCCTATATAGTGTCTTTGCATTGCGTACTTTCTTTCTTTACAAGCTCCGATGCCCCTGTAAGTTCTGAGTAGCCTGAGTCCCTGAGTTTTTAAGCTTTTGCCTTTTTACATGCTCCGATGTTTTTGTAAGTCTTGACTAGTCTATGTCTTGCCGTTTTGCCTCTTTGCATGCTCTGCTGTCGTTGTAAGTTCTTCATAGTCTCTGTTTTCCCAGCGTTCTTAGTTGTCTGTGTTATTCTGTTTCTGTCTTTTCACATGCTCCGATGTAATGTTCTGTGTTCAGTAATCTATGTTTTGTCGTAGTGGTCTTCTTTACAAACTGCGGTCGTTGTAAGTTGTGAGTACCTTTGCGTCAGTGTATTTGCGTCTTTACATGTTCCTATGCCCTTGTAAGTTCTTAGTAGCCTCTGCTTGTGGTTTTGCCTCTTTACATGCTCCGATGTCGTTGTATGGTGTGGTAAGTCCTCAACTGGGAGGCAGTGGGAAGTAAAGGCAGCTGGGAAGTTAGCAGGCTTGAAGCTTATGGCATAGTTTGGGTGGCTCAAGTGGCATCATGTCCCATCAAACATGTCCCTCCCTCCCTTTTTCTGAAGCGTCTGCTTCTCGGAGTGCAAGATTGAGAAACCTCCCCAATTCCTGTCGAAAGTAGATAGCTACCAAAACAATTGGATGTCTTTCCGAGCAAGGACGCTACGAACAGGGCTCCTGGCCTCACTTTTCACCGCTTCGCAGCTCTTTGCCCTCGCCTTGGAGTTGGCGTAGCCCGCTGTGACCCGGAAGTGGTGCGTGGAGTTGGCCGCGAAGGAGAAAGGGTCAAAGCACAAGGCGCCAGGGCGACGGTCCACATCGATCCTCGAAAGAAGAAACACATCTTTCTCCTTATTCCGCTAGGAAGTCGCTATTACGTTGGAGGCCATCGCTATTAGGTTGGAGGCCATCGCTTTTACGTTGGAGGCCATCGCTTTTACGTTGGAGGCCATCGCTTTTAGGTTGG